TATAGGAAAATCAAAGGCAACGAAGATACTCGACAAAAACCATTATAAATATATTTCGAATTTGAAACTTATATACAGGCCACTATAGTATCATTATAAATAGCATGCTGAAATCCAGTTGCATAATCAGTCTCTTATATATTTCTCCAGATCGCATTGCGCTACACAAATTTTGTGTCTGTGGAACCACAGAACTAAAACACAGAGGAGAAGGGAAAAACTGTGTTATGATTTTGTTCCGGCAAGGAGAACCAATATGGCGGCGATTGCCCCTTGGCGAGTCTGCGCATTACTGAATGTCATCTGTCAGCATTTGTGTTTATTTGGTGTTTATTCACAATTTTCCGTTTTCTGCATGTTTTCAACGTTTTCGATTAGTTTTCATTATGCCTTCAATATGATTCATTGGATTCTTCAGCAGTAGTGGCATATTTCCAAATATATATACTATTTTCGGTAAACAGTGTTTTTTTAGGTTAGTAAACAGACCAGGCTTGAAAATTTTTAAGTCAATTCAAAACATGCTCGAATTTAATTGTTACCTCTTTTTCGTTTTAGTAAAAAACTATGACTTGAATCACTTGTGAAGCATTGGGGATAGCTGACACGTACATAAGTCCTAGCAAGGTTGTTTTCTCCAAGCATTTCAAGGCATCAGAGTTGTGTTTCCTGAGGACAAAGTGACAAAATGATGTTTCCAAAGATTCTATTAGCAAAAGGAAATCAACAGAGAAGTCCTCCTCCTCGACTCCAAAATAAAAAGTTGACAGGTTTGTTATTATAAGTTTCACTATCTATGAAATCTTCATATTATTTGTTTTATAGAATATGGCAACAAGAATTGGAAATAATGATAGATACTTGGTACTTCTGTTTACTAAAGTACTATGAAAACAAAAACAAACTAAACATTCTGCTGGAGTCTGCTTTTTTATGGGTGACATAAAAATATCATATATTGGAATAGAAACAACCTGTCCAATTCACAAGTGAAAATCCTGGTAGTAATCATCCCCCAACAATAAAGAGTGGATGTGTCTTCAAACCATTGTTGCCTACCAAATAATGAAGAAGTGATTATCATAGCTCAGGTAGTGCTGGATTGGAAACATACCCCTAAGAAAAATATGAAGCTGATCAAAAGAATTCGAATATACAGGTTTGTTCATTACTTTTTGAACAACTACTTATTATTGGATACATGAAAAAAAAAACAGTTTTTCAGCAGAAGAAAGATATACAACCAAAAAAGAAGTACATAGATGGAGCACTTCCAAGGAAAGTTCGAATGAAGATTATTCCACCATCGAATCCATGTCAAAAAAAGTGATGATGAAGAAAAAAGCGACTTACGCTAATGTTTTATCAAAACATTGGTCATTTTATCGATTTATTTATTTTTAAAAAGAATATTACTATTCAATAGGATGTGATTGTGAATACATATACATTGAATACCTTAACCGAGATAGGAACTATAATAAAAATATATATTATCTATTCATCATATCTAATGTAACTGTAAAGATATATAAATAATTAAATAAATAAATAAAGTTGTAAAGAAGATTCGATCAGGAAGAAGTTGGAACCATTCAGTCATCAATGAAGTTTCAACTGTTTGATAAAAGTCCATGGTTTCTCAAAGTGAAGTACAGTAGTAGTATTATTTATAGTATAGTTGATGAAGTTTTTGTTTTGTATATTGATTATTTATTGAAGACATATGAATGAGTGAATTTTTTCATGTGGATATTCTCCATAGTTCAGGGACCTATTAATTATATTATGTAGCTTATTTAATCAGTATTGAAATCAAACTTTGTGTATTTGGGTCTGTACAACACAATGTTAATTATCCAAATAAAATTCATATCAAGTTGATATTTGACTATTTGTGTTGGTAACTATTTTTTTTTTGAATGAAAAAAGTTGAAAACGAATGTTGGAATGTTGTGTTATAATTTTGATTCAATTTTCAATATCCAGAAAAAAACTGTGATTGTATTTCCATTCCGATAGCTTGGGTTGAAGCAAATTCAGATTTTAACGACTGCTGTGGGGCAACAATTAAAATGACGCCGTCTCTGAGCACGAGTCAGTGCGCAGACGTGCCAAGGGGCTATCTTCGCCATATTTGATCTCCTATTAGGAACACGACTGGAATTTGTTATTCCCTTCTCCTCTGTGTTTTAGTTCTGTGTGTGGAACAGGTGACTCTTCAGATTACTCCTGTAATTACAGCTATGTGGGCATAGTCGACAAACGAACGATGACGTATTGGATTCGACGCATTGGAACTTGAGATGTCTTTTGAATGTCGATTTCAATTGATAGGACCTGTTGCATTTGAGACATGTGATGGGTTCTGCTGAAAAAACAGATATATCAAGAAATTGTTACACATTCATGCACATGGACGTCCGATGATTGTTATCTGAATGATATATATACATATAAATATGAAAGAGCAATATTAGAAAAAATATCACCAATATTTCTTCGTGTGGGGGATGCAGTCAGATCACAGGTGACAGAATACTTACTAACATGAGATTGGTGAAAAAAGTTTGAGCAATACATAAAAAGTACATCATACGAAAATTACACACCAAACATTTTCTATCAATTTAAAGCCTGTATTTCGTATCGTTACCATAGCAACTAAACAAATTTCTTGGAGATTTGTTCCTCCTCCTTGGGGGACGGTGCATGAAATTACACTAGAGATTTTTTGACGTTTATAGGTTAAATGACATTTACATTCAACTTCAGATTATTTCGACTTCATTCTATAAGTCAATAAATAAAAATCATTTTACAGTTACAGTTTACAGTTTACCATATAACTTTATGTAGGTATACTTGCAAATTCGAAATTTACAAAAACACATGTTGCTACTATACTTTAGTTCTTACATTTCATCACGGCGAACAAACATCATTTTCAACTAAATCATCTAAGTGTTGTTGAAATTCCTTACATTTGAATTGATCGAAAATGTTTGGTGTATAATTTTCTTACCGAATACCACTTTAGCTTCAATTAATATCCGGGAATTTTTTTTTCGAACACGAATATTTTGAAAATTCTCACGAGTAGAAGACGAGGGAGAATTTTCAAAATATTCGTGTTCGAAAACAAATTCCCGGATATTAATTGAAGTCTCGTGATATTATAAATAAAAATATCCCATTCGGGTGTCATGCGACAAGAATCTTTGAAAACAAACTCAACCGTCAACCATCCATTTTGAACTCCATTTGATGTTGTGGAATAAGAGTTACCGGTGAATACAGTGATACTGCTTCGTTAAAAATAATGAATGTCTCACCTGCAAAGTAAATGATCTAATGATGTACCTGTTATGTATCGATCAAACTTTTCCTACCAATCTCATGTAAGTATTTCGTCACCTGTTTTTTTAACAAGTGTTAAATTTATACCATTTTTTGTAGATGTCTTGATGAACAAATAGCTCGGCTATGTAACGAAGAGTTCTCATTTAAGACCAACATTTTGACTGCATACCCAACACCATTATAGACCTGAGCCAACACGAAGAAATATTGTGATATCTTTATGATCATATGAATTGAGTACATTGAGGTTATAAGTTGAAAGTTGAAAGAGCGTTTAAATTTCATTTTTTTTTTTAAGTTTTTTTTCACTTTTAATTTATTATTTAATTTTGTTATCGCTAGCTGGATTTTTCGATTTACTCTCAACGAGCCTTCTCATTTGATACCCATATTGTAGAAGTATATTGAAAATGACCAATCCGCCATCTTGGATGGATCGCCATTATGGATTTAGAATGACGTCACATCATTTTTCGAGGTACTCTCAACGAGCCTTTTCATTTGATACCCATATTGTAGAAGTATATTAAAAATAGCTATTTCGACATCTTGGATGGCGCCATATTGGATTTAGAATAACGTCACATTATTTTTCGAATTATTCTCAACGAGCCTATTCATTTGATACTCATATTGTAGAAGTAATTTAAAATGACCATTCCGCCATCTTGGATGGTCTGCCATATTTGATTTAGAATAACGTCACATCATTTTTCGAGTAACTCTCAACGAGCCTCTTCATTGGATACCCATATTGTAAAAGTATATCAAGAATAGCTATTCCGCCATCTTGGATGGTCCGCCATATTGGATTTAGAATAACATCAAATCATTTTTCGGAATACTCCCAACGAACCCTTTCATTTGATTTCCATATTGTAGAAGTAGATTGAAAATGGCCATTCCGCCATCTTGGATGGTCCGCCAAATTCGATTTAGAATGACGTCACATCATTTTTCAAGTTACTCTCAACGAGCCTTTTCATTTGATACCTATATTGTGGAAGTATATCAATAATAGCTAATCCGCCATCTTGGATAGTCCGCCGTATTGGATTTAGAATGATGTTACACATCTTATCGTGCATTGTCATCCAAAATGAACGTGTATACAACATTTTAGCTCAATCGGTTGAAGATTTCTACTTCAAAATTGAGTTCAAAGATTCCACCCGAATATACATACATACATCCATTCAAACATAAATTTAATTAATAATTAAAAAAGCAATCCATTTAACAAAAGTCTATGTGTTCAATTATAACTGCGATGGACACATCTACAACCAATACCACTCATTGGTTGCATACTGTTGCGTAGTATTTTTTATTCTTTTCTCAATTCTAATTACCTTCGAATTATTCTGTAGGTTAGCCGGAAGGTTATGCTAATTTTTTGAATCATGAGAGCTTGTCGAAGGGAGCGATTATGAGTTCGTAGAAAAAGTATAGCATGTAATGCCTTTATAAACTATCTTCAAGACACTCGATTCTTGAACACTCTCTCCACTTTGCTGTGTTTGCTACTAAAAAGACGTTTGTTTGTAACACTTGTTACATAATATACTAATTTGGATATAGATACACTCCGATGTTAGATAAGTAATATGAAATACCTACTATATGTTAAATATATAGCGACTGAGAATCGAGCTGAGCATTTAATCAAACAAAACAAACATACAGATTAAATGACATAACTGAGAGTCTTTGGGCTGAACATCGAGATTAATACATTATGGCAAAAACATCAGAATATTGGCATCTCGCCGGACACTTGCTTCTGGAAGTGTTTTCTTCAAAGATGAAATATATCTTTCTTTGGCTCTTCTCAACCAAGCCTTAATTGCTTCTTCAGAAGTTTTCCTATTATCAGAGACTCCATTGAGTTGGGCAGCCTCTGAAATGATAATAAATACTTCGATGTGAGAATGAATTTTATTTTGTTGAAGGAAACAGACATGTAATTCATTGAAGCTTCAAATTAAAGTTTCATCCTAATTGATCATCGCGAGTTTTATTTGGAAATATTCTTTCATTCACCAATTCGAAAAAACGGGGACCGGTCAGTTGGACCACGAGTACCTGCATTATCCCTTTTTTGAAAAAGGTCGAGCCCTGGTTCAGCCCACCCTGCAGTTCGAGCAGGTTAAAATTTTGATAGAATTCTTCCAATATCCTAAAATGTATACCGAGGAAGACGAAATAACTATCTTAGAAATACATCTAGAGCATAATCACATGGAAGATAGTACTCTTAGATTAGGTTAGCAATGCTTTGAAGAGGCAGGCGTTATAGAAGATCTAACAGAAAGACCTTCCAAGCTAATTCATAAGGAATTAAAGGTTTGTTCTTCCCTCATGAAGTGGAAAACTTTTTTTCTGAAGAATCATTCAATAATGCCCAGTAATCCAAGTCTATCGAAATTTTGCTGTTATATCGTGAAAACTTATATCGATGAAGAAAGTAATTTTTCCCCAAGTATGTGGGCTTGTACTACAGATAGTATGTACAGGACCACAAACGCGTGTGAATCATTTCATTCTCATTTTAATTCTATTTTTATAGTTCTCATACCCGAGTTTGTTTAGTTTTGTAAATATTTTAATAAACTTTCGAGCAGAAACATCAGAATATAGAAATGGCCTTTAATCCCAAAAAGATTTTGTGAAAATTATGTCTTATTATAATTCACCTCAATAATAAATAATATATGTTGAGAAGATAGTGATTGTTTTAATTCTTAGAAGACAAACTTATTCCGCTCGAAGAGCGGTCGTGGTCCAACTGATCGGTGTACAGGTACCTGGCCGCGATTTTACTAAATATACTGTACGCTAGCACATACCACGCCCACCGTTATATCTCATCTTCAAAGTACTTTACTTAGGCAAAACTCAGAGACTATTTTATCCTCAACGAAGTAACCTATCTCTGATTGCAATATTTTTGAGGAAGGAAAACCGAATGGAGTGTAGAAACACATTGATTAATAATATATTTCAAAAGTTGAGTTCTTCAACAAAATTGAATAAAATGAGACTGTTTATCCTAAATGCACTAACCTATTTGACTTCAAATATTTTATGAAAAAGAAAAAACCAGAATGAAGTAAAAAAACATTGGTGAAAAAAAAAAGTTGCATAAAAAAGATCAAGTTCACAGCGATTCTAACCATGGACCTTCAGACTGAAACTCGACAGTGCTAACCAGTAGACCATTTGGGTGTATGAATTGACTGCGTACAAGAGATTGACAACGAGAGAGCTTCAGTCGAATTCGTGTCAAAATCATAAAAAGTGTATTCTTGCGTTGGAGCACAGTATATTTAGTGCGATGTGCTGACTCCGAGTATATCGGTAATGTTTGGAGATATGACGTATTATGGTGAGCGTGGTTTGTGCTATAGCGTGCAGTATATTTAGTAAAATCGCTACCTGGCCCGTGGTCGAACTGTCCGACTCCCGAAAAAACTAACAATCCACTTTATCACTAAAAACTGTCTGTAGGTTAATCGAGGAGGTGATACATTCATTTTACTTGATTATTTGGGATTTCTTCTCCTTGTTTCCATACAATAAGGATATCAGTATAATTTCAATATACCGGGTGTCAACGAATCTATTCGACAAGTCATAACTTCTAGACCATTAGGTGTATCAAAATGAGATTTGGTATAGGTGCATGAATGGTATGTGAAGAGGAGAGTTTTCACATATTTTTCACTTCCCGGTCACTTCTGGTTTCACCGGAGATGGCTCCGATTCTGAATTTTTAAAAGGAACACCCTGAATATTGTAACATTTTTGGATTTCTGAGACAATTCTAGATCAGAATGTGACATTTTCGGAAGTTTTTATGAATGCTCAATTTTTTTGGAGTCACTTTTGAAAATACATCTAAATGGCCATGATCGGAAGTGAACTAATTCTAAGGACCGCAGGTGATATCAGAATAGAACAATTGCGAAGTGTTAGTGACGAGTATGATAGATATGAATAAGACAAGTTGGCAAAATTACATTTTCGTGTCTAACTATTGTTTTTCAAATGGCGACCATTTTTTGACAAACACTTTCTGAAAAAAAGGATATTTTGACGATTCTAACGATACTAATTTATTTGCGATTGGATTACAAATAAGAACATAAATTAAATATTACTGACGAAAATACTTCATCATAATTTATTTACTTTTGTCAAGTGTGCCATGGATAATAATTCGTTTACTTTCGAAATGACTGCAGAATATTATGCATCATGCCTATCTCATTTTGATACACCTATAATGGCGAGCCTAATGGTCTAGAAGTTATGACTTGTCTAATAGATTTGTTGTTACCCGGTATATGTGTAGTAGGACAAATCAGATGATTTGCTTCAAAATGTTACTGCGTTGAACAAGTTTCTAACAGGAAGCCTAAAAAAAAAAACAATAGCTCGTCAGTGACACTCTGTGTTTGGAAAAATGTTTGGAGAGAAGAAATATAGATATATTCAGAAAGATTTTCACTTATCTTATGCCGTTTCGGGAACGAATCTACTCATGTTCTCGACATAAAAATGCAAACATATTTTTCTTCGGAAAACACAACTTTCTTTCGAACACAACTTGCTTAAGCACACAACTTCCGAAGGAAGATTTGGATTTTCATGTTGGGAACAGGAGCAGATTTGTTCTCGAAACGTTCAAAGATAAGTGGAAATTTGATATTTTCTCAAAACCTACATCTATATTTCTTCTCTTCAAACATTGTTCCAATCAAAGTGTCACTGACAAAAGATATTGGATTTTTCTTTTTGGGCTATTAATACTTTTTCACCATATCACGAGTTGAATCAAAATTGCGGTCTATATACTTTCTATGATATATCAAATGGTAGTATGAAGTGCATTGCATACACATTTGCGGTTACTACAACAAATCAAAATGTGAGATGTAACGTTTGTGTTACCATGTTGGAAGAAAATTCAAAATTCGAATTTTGAATCGATAATTGATTTGATTGTTATGATGAAGGACATCCTGTATAATATCCAATGTATCTCACCAAGCAGAAGATCAGCTACTTTCAGTTGTCGAAAAACTCTCTTTTTTTTAGCACCAAGCCAGCTAAATTGCGATGCAAAACCATTGGTAATGATGGACGAGAGGCACCGTTTCATGAAATCATATGGGGAAGCACCCCCCATTTTGGACATCTCCGTAATCTAAAAAACATATTCGAGGTCAAAACTAGCATTATGAACACTCAAAAATCACTTACAGCAGCCTTGAACCGTCCTTTTTCAGAAAGGTAGTCTTCTAAGAGATTCAGCGTCTCGTCTGAGTAGATAGGGAAATGCTGAAAAGCTGCAAAGATTGATTGAACTTCAGTGCTAGTTGATGGATTAGTGTTGGATACTTGTTTCATTTTTTGAACTTCATCGAGTACCTCACTGAGTATTTGACGAGTTATCACCTGTTGTTTGATCAATTTTGCCAAGGTGTCACCTGAAAAATATGTCATCAGAATACTTCAAATGATTCTTTCGATTTAGACATTTACAGAAATTTTGCATTACTTTTATAGAACCTGCATGATTTCATGTTCAACAGAGCAACAACTACTCACTCATACAGGGTGTCCCAAAATTAGCTTGCCAAGTTTCACCTGCGGCTTCGACGACCAAAAAAGGAAGTTTCAATGAACATGAGTCAAGAAAAGTATCCAATAAGGAAGCTACGGCCCCCTGAGAGGGGACTCCTGAAGATGAATTTTTTAATATTCTCGAAACGTCTTAGGATGAAATGATGCATTTCGGTACAAGAACAAAACTTTTAATGTCCAAGTTATTGGAGATAAAATCATTCTAGAATTTCATTCAGGAGAGTATAAAACAGGGTGGGACTATATTGAAAATTGCTGGAACTTTTTTATATGCATATTTTTCGACAATTTCATCTCGGATTATGAAAATCTACAATGTTTCACGATCTGTTTCGTATCGATCAGATTTATCATTTCCAAGTGTAATCGACATAACGTTTCCAATTTTCAAATCATAGTGGCTTTAAAAAAATCAACTACTTCAAATACTGATGTCTGTAGGTTAATCAAGGAGGTAGTACATTCGATATTACAGATTTTTTGGGATTTTTTCTCCTCGTTCCTACAAAATAATGCATGCATGTAAATGATACATGCACAATTATATCAGACAGTGATGAAACTGCACTCTCTGAAAAAATTGCCAACACACTGAATCAATTTCAAGATTGGTGCTACCGAAATAGATTGATGATGAATATAAAAAAAACGGCGTGCATTATTGAATATTACTCTACGCTCAACTCACCATCAAACTGCTCTATCTCTTTAAACAGTACTGTCATTGCAAAATCCAAAACGGTTGAGTTTCTGGGAACCTTATTCGACAGTAACCTTTCATGGGGAGAGCAAATCAATGCTGTATGCAAAAAATCAACCAAAATGCAACATATGAGACAAGAAAATTCTAACGGTGACTTCTATTCATCTATTGAAATTACTGAGCAATACTTATCGAATCCAACATAAATTAACAAAAAATAGTGATATACATAAGCATGACACGAGAAATAAAAATGACTTTTTGCTCAGAATAGCAAATCACAATTACTATAAGAAATCACCTCTTATCGCTGGGGTTTCTTACTTCAATAGGCTTCCCAGTCACTTAAAAAACAGTCCTACATACGAAGTTTTTAAAGGTAGGTTGAAACACTTTTTAGTAAATAATTGTTTTTATGATCTGGGGGAGTTTGACGTTTTTCTCTCCAATAATTGAAATGTTTTATACTAATTTATTCCGTCCAATATCAGTGTATTTGTTTCTGTTTTCATTTCTTGGACAGTTACAGTTGTTATATCAGTTCTATGTTCTATGTTCTATGCTTTTTATTGTATACATGTACCGACTCGTCCAATCTATATTGTTCTATAGGGAAAAAGGATTTAATAAATTTTAATTTGAATTGAAGGACAAATCAGATGATTTGCTCCAAAATTTCACTGCGGTTAGAGAATTTTCCTTTCAGAGAAAGAAAAATTCACCGGCTTGTCAGTGACAATTTGTATCGAAAAAGGTTTGGAGAAGAGAAATGAAGGTATATCTAGAAAATATCAAATTTTCACTTAGCTTCGGACGTTTCAGGAATCGGCTCCCGTTCTTAACATAAGAAATTGATACTTGAATGAAAAATTTGTATTCGTCTTGATACTTCTCAGTTCTAAGACTTCTAAGAAACAATTGGTGACGTTGGCAATCAACTGAGTTACAAGATTAATTAATGAAAACATCCTGTAGCTCATTTAATTGCCAACGTCACCAATTGTCATTGAGAACGAAGAGGTCTCAAGACGAATACGAATTTGCTATGCAAATATCCATTTTTTATGTTGAAAACGGGAGCAGAATCGTTCCCGAAATGTTCAAAGCGAAGTGAAAAATTGATATTTCTCTAAATACCTTTATTTAATTTTTTCAAATCCTTCTTGAATGAAAATTGTCACTGGCAAGCTGGTGAATTTTTCTTGTGAGCTCTCTGATAAAAAAATGCTCTAAATGCAGTGACATTTTGTGAAAAATCATCTGATTTGCCCTTACAACGTATATTCAAAAAATATCGATGATTTTATTGTATTAAAACTAGGTGAGAAAATCCCAGAAAATCTGGAATAATGAATCAACAACTATATTTTCACCAAACAATCTCATAGGAGCGAGTTTAATAGGAAAATGATGATGAGAAACTACTTCGATTTCTGTGTATTTTGTGTTCCATTGCAATGTTATGCATGATATCTGAGATGTAACAATATTTTCAATAGTGATTTCACTTCAAATGTTACATCTGATCGATATGGAAAAGAAGTATTTTTTTTTTCTGTGAAGAGGTGTCGATTTTTATAATCCAAGATTGAATTGTCAGTATATATGCATAAAAAGTTCATTTTAATTTGATCTCACGCTATATTATATACTCCTGAATGAAATTTTGTAATGATTAAATTTCCACTGCATTGGGCATGGAAAGTTTATTTCTTCCACCGAATTGCATCATTTTATCACAGGGTGTTTCGGAAATATTCAAGTAATGTCATCTCCAGGAGCCTCCTTTCAAGAGGCCGTAGCTTCCCTAGGAGACATTTTTCGACTGATGGTAAATCGAACTTCTCCTCCTATTTTTTGTCGTTGAAGCCGCTGATGAAGTTTGACAATCAGATTTTGGGACACCCTGTATACAGAGCAGGAAGGATATCCGCAATGTTTTATCCTAAAATTCGAGTGATGATATCATTATTGAAGAGTCACTCCATATTGGAGCAAGTCACAGGGTGATATCTCAAAGTAAAACAGCCTCATTAAGAACCATGGTTCGTAAAAGTGAAACGCAATGGGCCTGTATAGTTCAGTCATAGGGAAAGTTTGAATTTTCTCGGGTTCGTAGGTTTGAATGTCAAGAACTAGAATTCACAAAATGCACATTCCGAGACATGCCGCCGTCGCCGCCATCTCTTCTTGTCAAGATGGCACCCAAAAAAACTGTGCGTTTTCCAGAGAGCATGTTGAGTAGAAGATGAAGAGGAAAAAATTTCCTATACGATATGTTCCTAGCATATTCTGGCAAATGTGAGCCGTTTAGGCTCAAGAGCTGATTGAATGACAACAGATTCTGTTAATCTCTATAAACTGTCCCTAACTATCTCCATAATAATTATATGCTTTTGAATTTATCTTTTATAAAGAAACTGTTTTATTCATGTTCCTAGAATATTTTCGCTGACGTTCTCTGTTTAGGCGAATTTCGGAAATAATGTGATTGTGCATTAGGGGTCCCCAAATGTAATATTATAAGACATTATAAATATTCATCACGGAACAGTGACATATATTCATTTCAATGAATCAATTGATTCATTGGTCATTTCATGTGAACAATTCATGATCTATTAATTTTTATTTAAAATGCTGTACTCATTTTCACACCACCTATGAGTTCACAAACACTTTTTCCAACGTGGTTCCCCCTGTTGGCCAAGTCCACGTTGGTCCTGAAATGATTTCTGGCGAAGGCCAGTCGGACCTGGCTCGCACAGTTTTGAAGATATTTGCAAAAACACGTTTTTGACCGCCATCTTGGCAAGATGGCGGCACCAGCGGCGTGTCTCGGGATGTGCATTTTATAAATTTCAGTTCTAGATCTCCAAACCTATGAACCTACAAAGTTTCAGAACTTTTGGACTTATTTCCAGGAAAAAATTCCCAATGACTTACCTGATAGGCCTGAGTTGTCATCTGATACTTCGGTCAGACGAGCCTTGGAAGGGAGTGAAGTGTTAATAGTGGGTAAGGGTGTCTCCTAATATTTTCTATCCCTACCCACAGCTTCAACTATACGAAGTGAAAAATACTACATAAATAAAAGTTGTAGGGTTCAATCTGTGATGAAATCTTTTGGCAGTCTTCAAACGAATATAAATACTAGTCCAAATTATATTTCTAAAATGGAACACTCTGTAAATTCTCAATTGTAGTAAAAGATATTTTTACCCTCTTCACAAATATACACAAATATATACAGAGTGATTCGTAATATGTGAACCCAGAAGTGATATAGGGCGTCTCAAGAATATAAAAAAGTTTCCATAAACAAAAGTTGTAGAAGGCTTCGTTTGCGAGATACAGGTTTTTTGCTTAGGAATTAAAGAATAATTTTCATTGGATTTCTATGGATAGCCACAAAAAAAAATTCTCGATATTCTGGTGCATAACTCAGTGTAGGTATAGATATCATTCTGTAATTATGGCACAATGCCAGTCACATAACAGACTGAATTTTGCCACCACGATGCTGGACATAAAACAATTTAATGGCTATTTTCAACTTCAACACCTTGTATCTCGCAAACGGCTTCTACAACTTTTGTTTATAGGAACTTTTTTATTTGCTTGAGACGCCCTATCACTTTTTGGAGTGCGTATCACAAATTGCGAAACACCTTGTATAGTCTGCCAAAATTCCCTCGATCCGATTTTCTCCTTTCATGCTCTTACAATATTGAATCAGGATTGCCCACAACACTCACATGGCCGTGGACACAACAAAATACCACGAAAACATATCAAACGATTCTTGACATCTCTGTCGGTTTCTCTTATCAAGTTATCAATAGTTATTTATTACACAATGGAGAAAAGTAGCGAAGGGAAACAAAAAACCGTGAGCTAGAATCTAATATTTTTCACGTGTATAATACACTTTTTTTTCCTTTGACGGAAAGAGGACGAATCAATATAGAAAAGATATCACATTATATTAAAATAGGAAGATTATTGAAGTGAAATTTGAAGTTTATAACAGTAATGACACCTGCGTGTCATCTTCATCATTCTTTCGAAGTAATCGAATATTTGTCATTAGAATTCTGTGTATTGATTTTTGGAAGTTGCGAATTCAGTGGTTGTTTAGTAATATACGTAACCGCGAAGTCGAATGGAAGATAAAAAGACTTGCAGTTCTTTCTCGGGGACGGTGTTATTGGCTTATTTTTGGCAACTATAGCACAACAAAAGCTATCAACAGTGTGAATATATGTGATATATATCTGGGAAAACAGTATTTACTTTTGTTCCG